AGGTAGAATAGCAAAGTGTTTACAAATCGTGGGCTTTCCCAACTGAATATGTAATTGGTACATCTCCCTCGTTCTGGTAAAATCCTGCCCTCAGGGAGCTGTATTTGATTCCGGTGTAACGATAATCCGTTTCATAAAGACGATGGGAGCTTGACAGACCGGGACGGAGAGCAGTGCTGGATTAGGAAATGAGAAACTGAGCGCTTAGGCCAACTGGCAAATGCTGTTTGAATGCCTGCAGCTGCTGATTCTCTAGGCATTTCTAATCCCTTTTGTAAAACTTTCTTTTAAATTTCTGTTCAGAGGATAAAATAAAAGTGGCTGACGAGCTGATGTGGTGCCTGTTGTAAAATCTGGGTCAGATAATGAATAGAGCAGAGCACTGTCAGTTGGAGGGGACCCACAGCCACCACCGAGGCCCATGGCCCGAGCTCTTCAGGCCGCCCAACGGGCACCGTCCCAGCGCCTCGTGAGCGCTGACGGGCCTGGGGCACCCCCCACCTCCCTGCAAAGCCTGGCCAGTGTTTGAGCACCCTCCCCACAAAGAAATGCTTCCACACGTCCCGTCTGAATCTGCCCCCGCACAGCTTTGAACTGTTCCCGCCTGTCCTGTCTCTGGACCCTCGGGAGAAGAGCTGAGCAACACGTTCAGTTAATTCCTGAAAAGTAAAATGAAGTCCAGAAGGAGCGTAGCAGCAGTGACGTCGCGCTTCCTCCAGCCATGGGTGTTACATACGCGTAGGGATCGAACTAGGGCTTCAGGAGGCAGTTTGTAGTGTGCGTAATCGCTTTCTCTTCTTCGCTCCGTTTCAAATCCTGCCTGCGTTGTAACTCCTAAACTGCTAACTCGTGCGTCTGGAGTGTCTGGCACTGAACCCTGGTGTGCTCTCTTCATTTAACCCATCCGAAGGTCACCGTGCTCTAGGCAAAACATGTTGGGTTTTCTGGCAGGTGTTTGCAGACCAGAGCCCTCTAGAGCATGGGATTGCTAATCCCACCTGGCAGACAGAAGGAACAGTCACTGTCACTCCCAGAGGAGAAGTGGGAATGTATGAAGTATATTCTGTAAAACCTTGTGAAAGCCTTCAGCCTCTTAAAACTAAGATGAGTTTAAAAGGTGGGAGTGGGAAGAGGTTTTTTTCCGTGCCTTACAGTGAGTATGGCCTGGATTTTGTTCTAAATTCCTCCTTACGTAACATCAGTGGGGATACACCTGAGGAGATGCTTCTGGGCCGCAGCGCAGTGAGGACAGGGGACTGTAAAGTGCTCGTCGGTCAATCTGCCTGCGCGGGGAGGAGCTTTAAGAGGAACAGCTCCCAGCTCCAGCGCACAGCCCTGAGCGCAGCAGGCGTTACAGGCGAGGGAGTAGGGGTGAAGTTATCACTGGGGTTTTGATGCTCCTTTGCACGGGGTGAGTGTTGCTGTTCGCCATCACAGACGTTAAGAGAAGACGCTGTATCGCGTAACCCGCTGAGCTCATTTAACTTGATAAGCTACATGGAGTTTACTTACAGGAATCCATAATACATACTCCTGTCTGGCAAAAGAAGTGAAGCCTTTGTGATGGGAATCATATTCTGAAGCACCAGCTGTGAGATCTCATGGCAGAATATTACAAAAATCCGAGCATTGTGATTAAAAATTGGCAAGCCAACAGTTTAGGAGTTAATGGATTTGTATGGGTGGGGTCACTGCAAACCAGCGTTTGGGTTTATCCCACTAACAGATAAAAGAACCAAGACAGGGAATTTGTGACACTCTCCAATGCCAATGAAAATTGTAGGTTTAATCCCTGCTCGCTGTATTAAAATCTCACGCTGTTTGCAAGTGTCAACAAAACACAGAGAAGTTGAACAGTTACTTTCTGGCTGGTTTACACCCACCTGCTGGAATTCCCCTTCAGCTGTTCTGTGGTGGCAGCTTAAAAACAAACAGAACTTTTGTCAGGTACCTTACTTCGACCTCTGTGCCCCAAGCTAGAGGGGACCAGCCCCACTGCAAAGGCTTTTACGCAGCCAGTACTGGGGTTTTCATGGGGTGCGCTCGCCATCAACCTGCTTTGCCGGCCTGCTGTCGGGACGCGTAGGGAACTGACTGTGCCCTTGTCTGTCCGCCCACCAGAGCCACAGACGGACCAGACCTACAGAGATGACAGTGACGCTGCAACTTTCAAGCAAACCCTCCCAGATCTCACCCCTGATGAGCCTTCAGAAGCACTCAGCTTCCCTCCCTTAGGAAAGGAGGAAGGGAGATGTGATGAAGATGTGCCCAAAAGCCCAACGGAATCACCTGCAGTGGAAAACAAGGAACCCCAGTCTCCACCCGCTGAAGAGGCAGTGACGCCAACGGCTGAGGAGGGGACGGCAGCTGAGGCAGGTAGCGACGAGTCTCCGGGGAAGTCCCCATCGAAAAAGAAAAAGAAGTTTCGCACTCCTTCCTTCCTGAAGAAGAGCAAAAAGAAGAGTGACTCCTAAAGGCCAAACACACTGCAGAAACACTGTCATATTTTACCATTCATTAACCACTAGAATGTACCAGATCGTACCGAGTGTTTTGTCTTCTTACGTAAAGGAATGCAGCAAGTAATCCCACCAGCCCCCCAAGTCATGGCTTGATTGTTTAAGGTTATAACCAGAAACCGATGTCCAGAAAGGTGCTAATCCTGTGTTTCCAGCAGCTGCCACAGATCTGATCCCTAATTTGTGACCACGTGTAAGTGACTTCCACGTGGAAGGCACTCACTCACCATTTTTAAGGTAAAGCCCGCACTGCTCTACAAAAGCCTAAGCAAAGATTGCGCAATTAAGAATAAACCACGCGTCGCTTCCCACAAGAGGGGTTCTTTTCCCAGATCCTGCTCCAAGTCACAGTATTCTTCTGGAATACTGACTTGTAGAGAGGATGCTTTTGCCCTGGTGTGTTCGAGGGGGGGTGTATTCCTCGACTGACAGCTCAGCTGCTGCAAGCTTGCAATTACCGATCCTGTTTCAGTCAAGCTTTGAGGCTATCCAGTCCTTCCTCTTTCTCCCCTCCCACTCTGGTGACAGAATGAAGGTGTTTTCCCTTCATTTCGTAACTGGCTCTGGGAATCACCTGTGGTGTCTGGGTCTGAAATCACTGTGGTGTGTTCTGCTCGTGTGCGTTCAAAGAGCCCGACCAACCTTTTTTCCCTGGAGCAAACCCTTTAAGGGAGATCAGTCTTTGGCTGGCCTCCTCCAGAGTCAGTCATGTGGTAGTTTGGCCCTTAGGAAAGGCTAAACAGTAACTGCATCAAGCAGAGGGGGTGTGAAGTACGGGCAGTTGTATTTTGGGCCTCAGCACAGGGTTTTTTCACCCTCTCAAAAATCCCGTGGGGGCACATACGAACCCGTTGCATACAAACCCTGTCTGCGGCCTTTTGAGTTTGTTCCTTCCCGTGATCAAAATGTAAGTGCATTAGGCTGAATATTTAACCTTTTTTTTTTTAATACTAATTATTTTCAGTTACAAAAACTGGCATTTCTTTCTGTTGTTGTTGTTGTTGCCAGCAGTGAAGTACACACATCCCCACTAACCCTAAAGGTGTATGGTCACGGGTTGCTATAAATGTTTGTTTAATATGTAGCATGGTAAAGAAAATCACTCTCACCACTGAATTCGCTGTTCCCCGGCTGTTGCCATGCTTCCGTCGATCCCGAATCCCAAAAGCAGTTTAAGGTCAGGTAGGTGAAGCTCGCAGGAATTCCCCGTGCGTAGTCACCCAGCCAGAAGTGGGGAAGGCCAGTAGCCCTTCCTGGTTTCCTGGTGCTGGCAGCAGCAGCCGCCGACTCCCCGCCTCGTGTGGGAGAGGGAGACGTGGCCCCACAGTAGGTGGCTGTAAGAAAGCAGAATACGGCTGTAACCCTTAAGGACAACATTAACCATTGCAGTGGGAAAACTAACGCCTTCCGTTCCTGCAGCAGCAAGGGGGAGGCGGGTTGAGCGGCCGGACGCAGCTGAGCTGGGGGCTGGTGTCAGAGGAGAATGGGAGCAGTGAGGGAGAGAGGTCTCCGGGTAGCAGTTGATACCGGGAGAAAGGTAAGGTCACCGGCGGTGGGACGGGTGGGAGAGAGGCAGGAGAGCGCTGCAGGAGCGACCCCTGACAGCGGCAGCGAGTCAGGGCTGCATGGCACGAACGGCTTCAGCTTGTACTTTAACCTTGTCTGTCCTCTGCACACTAGGAAGCATACAGTACTTACTTTGCTAAACCGTGTTTTATTGCAGGGTCGTAAATCAATGACTAATGGCTCTATGTTTCGGTTCTTTATGGAGTCCCTCCGTTTATCTTGACCACATATGCAATGACTCTTAATTTCTAATTTTGTAGTTTGTTCTTTTAATTCTTTGTATTACAATATGAAACGTAGTCATGTGTGGTATGGTTACACACTTTGGGGCAGAATAAAGCCCTGTATTTTTCTTTCTTTCTTGTATCATTAAGTTCTACTCACAAATAAAACTCTTTAAAAAAAGAAACAGGTCTGTTGCTGCCCTGCTTAAGTCTTGTGCAGTTTCCTGCAGCTGCAGCCAGTTGCATTCAGTTGGCTCCACTTCCTTCTCACGCGTGATGTGTTGATTAATGACTGATTTAATGTGTTAGCAGAACCCACTCAAACTGGCTACAGGTAGGGCCTCCTTCCCCGAGCATCCAAGCAGTGCCCAGCTCCCTCCAGGAGGCTCTTGGCACCACAGCTGGAGTTTAGGTCTTGGCTTGGCTGAAGAGCCACGCTGGGGTGGGATGGGTGTAACATCTTCACTGCCATCACCTGAGGAGGGGAGTGTAGGACGTAACAGTTTATTTGTAATGCAAATGGCACAGTGCTTGGTCATCACAAAACATCACCGTACCAGAAATACAGAACACCCCTCAACATTTAACTGCACAGTATAGAGCCCATCTGTGCCGAAGTACCGGTTTTTGGGTTTGATTGTCACGTTTTAAGGCAGTTGATGGCACTTGTACTGGGTCTGTCCGTGGAGGTCTCATGACCACGGTACAGGAAGTCCCCCTGAGAGCAGACTCGTGGGTTGGTTCTCTGCCAGCCCAGCCGAAGCAGCCCTCTGCGGAGGCGAAGAGAGAGGAGTTCGGCAGCACTTGATGGTGAAGCGGTGCCACGGTGCTGTCATACCAGTCTCAGCTGATGATCCCAGTGCTCGACTCTGTTTTTGTGGTGGGATTTTTCTACTGGCAAAACAAGCCACGCTGGCTGGGGGCTGTCTGCAGCGTAACTGCTTGTGGGGGTCGTAAGAAACTGCAGTGTGGTGGTGCTGCAAACAGTTGTCACACTGTCCCCTTCCAGAGGATCAAAATCCTCCTCTTCCCGTTTGGTCAGCAGTCAGGTCTGGCAGAGGGCCATGGAGCCGGTGACAGTTCTGTGGTCACTTCCTACTCCTCCTTCCTCTGCTGTTTCATAGAGCCAAGTAAAAGGAGGGGGATGAGGAACAAAGCTCCGCAGGCGGTGAAGCAAACCTCTGCCCCTGCCAGCCAGTAAACTGCAAAGGAAACAAAGTGCCTCGTCAGTACAGGCTTGTCCTTGCACCCATGCCACGGGCCTTCAGAGCTGCTGCCAGGGGAGAGCACGGACCTACACCTTCGTCTGCTGCACAGCCTTGCTGGCACACAAGTTACGCAGAGGAGGGAGCTAACAGGAGTGCTGGTTCTCCTCCAAGGAAACTGCATGTGAAAGTGGTTGTTTTAAATAGGGTTTTTTCATTCCTGCCAGCAGGGAAGTAGGGAGGTTCCTATTCACACATTCAGCTTTGGCTAAAGGCAACTGCTGAATGCTCTGCCCCCAGCACCCCCTCCCCAGCTGCTCTGGGCCTGTCTGCACAGCTCTCAAAGGGTGGTATCGGTCTCCAGGTGTGTAACACCAGTGACTCCAAGACCCAGCAACCCCGTTCTGGCTTTGCTCAAGCCACACAAGGTCCAAGCTCCAGCTCCGAGTTGCTGCCTGGCTGCTTCCCCCACAGTCCCTTTACCCTGTAAGGGCCTGCTTAAGTGCTGCGCTTCCCCTTCCCACTTTCCTGCTGGGCCGTGGGGGCCAAGTGACAATAGCTGTTGGCAAAGGCAGGAAGGAACAGGAGGCTGCACTCACCTGTAGCTGACAGGATCGGTCCCAGGGCTCTGGCGAGGGCGCCCAGGCTCCTCAGGATCCCCATGACGCGTCCCTTCTGGCTGGCAGAGCCTGTGCAAGCAGAGAGCACTCACTCAGCACGGAGGTTCAGGGCAGGGAAAGCGGGCAGGGTACTGCTGTAGCTCTTGGAGCCTTGTTCTGTTGGACCCATTGCCCACATGCATCCCCCCCTCTTCGATTTCATACTCGCCCCCCAAGGGGCACTCCCTTCCCCTCCACCCCCATAAGCACGGCTGTTTCACTGCGAAAACTCGGGCTGGGCCGAGTGCTTGTCCGGGGACAGCGTGTAACACACCCTGTCCTTACCCACACACCGCCACCAGCAACGCTTTACGCTGTGCAACAGGCTTGCTGGGGGGGCACGGGGGCGTAATAAATACAGAGGCACGGCCGCAAGTTAAATAAGAGCAACATAAAAGTGACGCTGACGAGCAAAGCCCCACCGCTCCGCCTCGGCAAGCGCTGCAGGGCTGGCAGACAAGGGAACCGATGGCAAAGACTGAACGGTGTCACCCACAGAGGGCAACGCAGCTACAACCGCTTTGCAAGGCTACATAGTGCCTGGTGCCACAAACACGGAAGGGTTTAGAGGGTTCCTTCTTTTCCAAGGAATCGGAAGAAATTATTTCAACTGCTGTCAGCGACAGCTGGTGTCTGAGAGACCCCAGGCCAGTCAGGGCTCAGCGCTGCTTGTGGTCTCTGCCCACGATATTAATTCTTTGCCCACCGGTCCCCTCCTTCTAATCACACCTAGAAGTAAGGGTGCTTGGAACTGCCCCAGCGCATCAGAACAAGCGACATGACGTGGTACTGTGTGTGATACTGATGGTCACTCTGTTGCTGTGTGTTAAACTACCCACTGCGCAGTGCTGACTGTTTTCAGAAACAGGCACAAGTCTGTTTTGGGTTTTCCTCTGCTCTCTTAAGGGATTCTACATTTCCCAGGATACCATCTTCCCATCTCCAGCATTCCCGCTTCACTTCCCGCTGTGAGGGACGTTCACAGGCTGCAGGGCTGAAGGCCACAGTACCTCCAGCGTAACACAGCGGGTTTTGCCTCCTCCTCAGCAAGGCACAGTGGGACAAGAGGGTAACTCCAGGCACTGCTCCTGGCTGTACTGAAAAGGGCAGGATGCATTCCCATGGAGCCTGTCATTCATCACTAATCGTGAGGTCCATTCAGCATTCGAGCCAAGTCCATACAAAGGCCAGTTATGTGGCCAAGGGCTGCCACTTGCAGCGGGAAAGACACTCACCGTAGCCTGACACCACTGCTGACAAACACGGGATAACAATGGCCGCAGCTGGAAAAAAATCCAGAGAGAGAGAGAGACTGTCAGTGAACAGCAGAGAGCTCACAGCCATGATGAGAGCAACAGTGAAAAACACGAGGCCCAAACTGGTCACGACTGCAGAGAAACGCGCGGAGCTCTGGGGCGCTGCACTGACCACCCATCATCAGGTTTAATCTGGTTCAGCAACAAAAACACCCTCTCAAAGCCAACCTGCACGAGGAGCCCAGAGCCACCAGCACTCTGAGCAGATGTTTCACATCATTCCTTGAGCCCGCAGGGAAGGGGCGGACAGGTCAGATCCGCTCGCTGGTAGTTTTCCAAATCGCTGTGGTTTTGTCAGGTGGAGCAGGGAAAGGGAGTCGCTCCTATTTCAGCTGGACAGTCAGGTGGCTGCACACAGAATCACGCTGCCCCATGCAGTGTCTTAGCATACTCGTGGAGCAATGAGGCAGCTACGTTCTGCCTTGGGAAATAGGACAGCCAAGTCCAACAAGAGGAGGTTACAACATTTTTGGACACCAAAGCCAAGAGCTGTTCAGCAATCACTGCCCTCTTACTGAAACAGGGGTCTTTTCTGCCAAAAAAGAAGTGCTTTAAGCATACAAAGCAGAATCTCTTCTGGGAAGGAAAGGACAATTGGAGAGCAGGAACAATAGATGTGCTGCCTGGACTGCAGCACCCTAACTCCTGGGGCAGAGGGAGGAAAGAGAGGGAAAAAGAGTCCCATCCAGAGGCATTTCTAGCTGGCCTAACTGGGGAAGAGGTGGGGTCTTCTGCCCAGGAATGGAGCCTAGGTAGATGGGCTCCTAACTCAGAAGCACAGTTAGACAGACTGAGTACCTCCTCTCACCCTCCTCACCACCTGGGCTTTGAAAACCAAATTAATCTGTAGGTAAGATGTAGATTTTGAAACCTGCCAAACACACAGCTGTCCCTAGACAAGCGAACTACTAAACAAACAGATGCATTTTGTGGCTTACAGTTTAGTCAAATCAAACTGTATCATGCAAAACAGAAGTTTCCTACTTTCATCATTAGTCAAATTTGAAACTTCTTAACATTAGTTAGCATCACTGGGAATATCATAGAATCACAGGATGGTTTGGGTTGGAAGGGACCTTAAAAGATCATCTAGTTCTAACCCCCCTGCCATGGGCAGGGACACCTACCTGCCCATTACCCCTTGTCCTGTCACTACAGACCCTTGTAAAAAGTTCCCCCCCAGCTTCCTTGTAGCCCCTTCAGGTACTGGAAGGCGCAGTAAGGTCTCCCCGGAGCCTCCTCTTCTCCCGGCTGAACAAGCCCAACTCTCTCAGCCTGTCCCCAGAGCAGAGGGGCTCCAGCCCCCTGAGCATCTCCGTGGCCTCCGCTGGACTCGCTCCAACCAGTCTATATCCTTCTGATGTTGAGGGCTCCACAGCTGGATGCAGCACTCCAGGTGGGATCTCACCAGAGCAGAGTACAGGGGCAGAATCCCCTCCCTCGACCTGCTGGCCACACTTCTCTGGATACAGCCCAGGATACAGTTGGCTTTCTGGGCTGCCAGCACACACTGCCGGCTCATGTTCAGCTTTTCATCCACTATCTTTTTGTCCAATATCTGAAACCTCTTTCCACACAGGCACTGCAGTAGATGAATCCAACTTCATAATTGTTTCCCTGAGTAACAGCTGCAATTGGCAGAGCATTATCTATGTAAACACTTAAACATCTTTGAAAACCATCTGCACTTACCATAAACAAGAGGTGGAGGTTTGCCGCCTGCCTGAGCTAGCAGCTCGCAATGCAAGAGCGCAGCGCAGCGTGCAGGCAGCACAGCCCCGTGCCACCACGTTCAGGGCAACGAATTACCCCCTCCCCTCGCTCAGGCCGAACGCACACACCAGCTCTCAGCTTCACAGCGTGCCACCCTCGTCAGCCTGTTGCCCAAGAAGTAACGCAGCCCCCACAGACAAACAAAGACGTGGCGTCTCCCTCCTTTTCCGGAGCTCTTAAGTGAATACTTTGCTTCTAGGTCTGATGAGAGGGGGAATAAACCACCCTCGAGAGCTCCCCAGTGAGACAGGACAACAGGAGCACTGGGGATGCTTCCAAATATCACCATGGCAACTTCCTGTGATACAAACAGCATCAGGAAAAAACAACCCCAGACACTATTCCTTCCATATTTTATAAACAGAAATATCAACTTTCTACTGCTTAGAGTTTGAAATTCCAAGTGCATCCTTTTTATAATGGGGTGAAAAAATGCATGAAGAAAAATGATTTGTGCTTAGCTTTCAGTGCATTTTGAATAGCTCACCAAAAGAGTACAACAGGAGTCCGACACTCAGCATGGTCACATTTGTAGCCCATCCAATTAACAAGAAAGCTGGAATCAACAACATAATTGCCTGCAAAAGGAATGAGTCACACAGTTACACTGAAGCCCTGTTTGTTAAAGCCTAATTCGAGGTGTCCTGCTAGTTCTCTTCCGCTCACAGGCCTAGTAGGAAGCAGAAAGCCCTTTCTTCCCAAGCAGGCACTTCAAATTCACCTGGATGGCCACACATCTGCGCAATTTCCTTTTCTGTTCCCCCTGTCCCATGGCTGCAGACAAATGAGGGTGGGAGCCCCCTGCAACCCAGGCCCACACCTGATGAACAGCTGATGAAGAGGAAGATTCTACTTCCCCCTACCCACCAGTGGAACATACTCTAGGGAAAGCCTGTGAAGCACGGAGATGGCCAGACTGATGATGTCCCTCAAACTATTTGCCAGAGAGAGAGTCAGAGATCAGCTCTGAAGAAGCTTTAGCAGTTTCGGTGCCTGCACTGCAAGAGAAATCACCAAAAGAAAGCATGATCTTCACAGTGTTGAAGATCACCTTGCTTGCATGGACACTGTTCTCATTCCCTACTGCAGTTATACATGAAGAATTCAAAGCTTCAGTAACATCATAGCTGATGCAGTAAGAAATGGCTGTAGTGTTGCAAAGTTTAGTTAACTTACAGATGCCAAACAACCAGGGTCCTGAGAAGTCATTCAGCTGGATTACCGAGACAACAGTTTTTTTGGATTTGACCAGTACAGTTTTAACCCCAACTACCTTTCATGGCCCTTTAGATTAAAAATCAACCCATAAGACTTGTGAGAGAAAAGAAAAGAAAAAAAGCTTTTTTTTTTACCCTTTTTACAGCTCTGATTTCATTTCCTGGCTTGATTCGTCGAGCATAGCCTCCCTGGATCACAGCCATTGTTATTCCAATAAAGAAAAACATCTTGCCCTGCTGCATGCTAGGAGGGAGGCAAAAACACGGATTACAGAGTCACGGACAGAGCATTCCACCCTGGGATTCACAGGTTCCAGTGCATACCCTTTCCTGAGCCAGAGAGAAAATGCTTTTTGGTGCTGGCACGAGCACTCTCTAGACTGTTGTGCCTCGGGTGGCCCAGAAAGAGTCAACACATTAATTACCCTGCGCCATACGCAGAGGAGGTGTTGGCTTGCAAGGAACAAGCCTTTAGCTTTCTCACAGCCCCTGCCACCACTCGTGCAGGGTTTGATTAACGTCACCAAGGCACAACACTGAACTACGTGGATACTCCCAGCCCTGTAAAAGGCTTGCTTGTCACACAGCCTGTAGCGTCGGCATAAAGCTGTCTCTCTCACACCATGGCTATCGATCCTGACAGGACTGTGCCGGAGCAAGCCGAATACACTAGCAAACCTTCCCTTGACACACACACACGAGTTAAGCCACAAACTGTAATGAAAGATAGACAGGGAAAGATGAGACAAACCCCTGAGAATTACTCAAAGGGAAGGACAGACATAAGGAATCATCAAGCTGCAAGATCATGTTCCTGGCTGGAAATCTTCCTATGAGCTGGCAGGGAAAGTATTTCAAGCTGAGCTGCTGTTAGTAGATTCTGTTCTCTCTCTTCTCTAGTGTTTGACTAGAGGAAATCAAACTCTGATGTAACGACTGTACACCACAGGCAATGCAGAACTCTGACGAGCAAATATGATCACACAGCTATCCCTCCATCCTTTGTTTTTTTTCGAGCTTCAAGATTTGTCCTGATACTGAAGAACTGTGCTGGGCTAGAAGAACAAAGGTTTTATTACAATCAGTACAGCTAGCCCAGCTACACGTATTTCAGGAGCTTAATTTAAGTCTCATGCACTGATTTTCTCTAGTTATTAGAGACTGCAGATTCAATGAGCATTTCCTTTCGAGATGAACAGCGTGTCGGCGTTTTCATAAATTCTTCCCCCAAAGCCATCACTGAACACAGTGGTTGCTTTCTGAGTGTTTTTACTAACCTCATAGAGCTTCTCTTGGAAATAAATAAAGAGAACTTAAATGAAGATTTTGGAAAATATCCTGGACAAAATATACAACATTGTCCTTCCAAGTGTGCTATACCGGCTGAACTTGAATCTTTGGTTAGTGAGAAAACTCAGTGTGTACTCCAAGCCGGAAAACAGGAAGAGGTACAGGAAATAAGCCAGGCCCAATATTTTGAGATTCTGAAGATCTAAACAAACAAAAAACCAAACAAACACCGGGGGGGGTGGGGGGGGGGAGGAAATACGGTGGTGGTTTTCAGGCACAGCTTGAGAGTGTAACAGCAACAGCAGAGCAACTTTTATCAACTGCACAAGGAAAAGTTCTTGCCTCAGATGCTCATTTTAAATACCCATACAAGACATGCCACTTCTGCTCACCACCTCCCTTCTTAGGAGAGGAGAAGAACCCAAAAGACTAATTTCTCTCTGGGTCCCCCTGCTCTGAGGTTCCAGCTTCTCTGCCTCACACTGACACCCCCACCTCTACTGGGATTTATCTTTCTTTTTAATCAATACCTGCATTCCCCCTCCTACCCTGATGCTGCTCTCGGGACGATACTGGCTAAAGCACAGCATCCCTCTTTCTAAGGTGCAAGTGGCCCATGACAGACTGCCTTCCTTGTTTTCCTGCCAATGCAGGGTTTAACAGGTTGTCTCCAAAGTGGCCAGTATCACCCAATTCCTGATGCAGCAGCAAGGAGGACTGAACAATAAGTTGAGGTACCTGGCAAACACTGATTTATTTTCTGTGGCTTAAATAATTTCATATAGAGAAATGGCCTGCTCAAATCCTACATTTCCAAGTTCTGAATTGAGAAATAATATTCCAGACTGAAGTTCCCTGGTTTGCAGCTTGGATAAGCAAACTCCTATCTCCCTTACTCAGGCCTTGACCTATCTTTTTAAATCACTTCTCTTACTGCAGCCTACCCCGCGCTGCAGCCAGCGCCTGAAGAAAAAACAAGTAGCAAGTCAGAAATCTTCAAAACACTCATCTCCCAAACCTTCTTTTGGGAAGAACAGGACCAGAATCCAAGGGAACTTGCAACTCCCCGTTCGTAAGTTAGTAAGGCGGGTTTTAAATGAGTGAACAGAGTGCTGCTTCTGAAATAGTCTGAGTGAAGTTTTCACTCAGAAACCACTGCCACATACAACATTAATACAAAAGCCATCCTACACTTACTCTCCTCTGAAGGGGATTCCTTTCCTCGGGTGACTGCAGAGAACCGAAATAAAGCCAAAGGACTGAGCAAGTCAACTGCTGCCTGAAAGCCAGACGTCACAGAGGAGACCTGATTGGAGAAAGAAAGAGGTTTATTTAAAAATCTGGTGTAGTAACTACTGCAAGGACTTGACAGTAACAGTCCAACGTGCTTCTACACCTCCAAATTATCTGAGATGAAACAAGGCTACTGGCACTGGGGTGTGAGTGACCCCCCGGTAACAGCCCAGACTTTCTGACCACAGAGCTGGCTCCAGCACTATAACTGGAAGGTAGAGCACTGATAGGAGCTTTCACTGAAGACACAAACCAGATTCTTCCCTGGGTTCTTAAAAAGCAGAAGAGGCTCATTCTCCACAGCCTTGAAGGTGGCTTTATTTGGTTCACTTTTTGCCTCATGTCCAGTGAGCATTTCCTGGGAAACTAATGGCACTTCTGCCTGCAAGCTCATGGGATGCTGGGGATTTGCTTGTGTGCTACAGGACTGAGAACAGTATGTGTGGTACATCAACAATGGTCTGTTTTGGTAGTGCCTGTTCCTTTAGTCAGCCAGTGACATCTCCTGGGAAGAAAAGGAAAACTGAATTTTTAGAGAGATTCCTACGAGATATTTTAGATAGATTTCTAGAGACATTCTGTCCAGGTGTGTTGTGGGGATTTTTGAAGAGGTAGATTTATTTTGTAACATTTCTGGTTCTTGTACTCTATACATCCCAGCCTAATTGTGCACCTGGTGGTGGTCTCCTGGCTCCATATCAACAGGAGCTCGGGAGATGCTTATTCTTCCATCTATGGGGAATTTGTTTCTTTTTTACTCTAAGGTATAGAAAATTAAAAGAAAAGCAAATAAGAAATAATGTCTACATAAAGGAAAAAATTCTTTTTAAAGCAGGAGAATTTAGACTGCCACTTTACATGACAGTCACAGGAAGAGATAAGACAGACTCAAGATTCCTGAATAATCACTTAGTATTTCACATCTTCAAAGCACTGCACAGACTGTATCTGATGAGCTTCCTTCTCTACCCAGATAGACAGGGAGGGAGCTATTACCCCCTTGAGGGCAGAGATTAAAGGTCAAATTATCAGCGGAACTTAATCTCAGTGCATGACCTGAGCACTCATATGGATTTAATAAAGCTGTAAACAAATCAACCTTCTGTATGGTATCAACATGACCCTGCCTTGTTTTGATAGTCAGAGCTTCTGAGTATCTGACAGCACAGCACTGCAGCCCATTAGTCTCACAACAGGAACCAGTTCAATGTACCAGGCAGGTTTTGTATAAAGGCATAAAGCTGCTGGCCCACACAGAACCAACAGGGATATTTATTTCCCTTTCCACTACATGTATTGCAGAGAGTAAACAGACACTCCCAAGAAGCTGTTTCCTCATGCTTTTAAAAGGTCTGTAAGAGGATTTCCTGAAGCTGGCTTGTAGCAATCCTCAGTTCCTGCATTTGTTGGCATGATGGTGTTTGTACCAGGGAACCTGGGAACAAGCAACTCTCTTAAAGCATGTTTGCTGGTAATAAGAACCTGTAGTTTGTACCTGTTTTGAATTATTATCTGTGGCACGGTGTCAAGCTGCTTTGTACCACCCAGGCTGATTTTAGTTTGGTCCTGAGGATATACATTATATATGTATATGTTTACAGTCTTAGGTGTTTTATGAAATATATATATGGATTCAATTTTTTAAAATATACCTGTGTGTGCACATGTAAATTTCTTTTAATTTCTCCTATCTTTGCCTTAGAAGGCGTGGTCTAGAAATGACTTCGTGCACTGATGGTTAATGAAAACGTCCTAAAACTGACACAAGTGTTTCGCCACCCCCAAATAACCAAGTATAACACGGCCAGTTTCAGTCAGTGTCACCAGCTGCATGGATGCTTCAAAGATTCAAAATCTGATCTGCAACGTCTTGCATTTAATTTCTACTCTTACTCTAAAATTGCTCAGTTTTACTTCATCGTCACCCCAAAAGTCACCTTGAATGACAGACATTTTTCACAGCGTCTTTATTTACACTGCTCAGTGCAGAGACTAAGTAATGTGTCTTGAAGGCACAGTCTGTCCAAATCAGGAATGCAGCCTGGGCCTTCCCAGCTCCAGCCTCACCCTTCAAATCAGACACTGTTCAGTATGCGCAGAGCACCTTGTTTTTCCATGAGTCTGCTAGTGATGCTGCACAGCCCTTCACATAGTCCTTACACGATTAGCTGGAGACCAGAAAAACACAGTTGGAACACCATCCCTCCAACTAGGCCGTCTTGCCCATGACTAGCTTAGCTAAAAACAATCTCAAAAGCTCTTAAAGGGGACAGATTCCACTAGAGACCTTCCTATTCCTCCCTTCTCCCAAGCAGGTCACAGCAGGAGCTGTCTTGGACACCTCATGTAAGACCAGTGTCTCTGGAGAGGTGAAAGGTACTGTTCTCTGGTTACTCTTCACTGATAAACACGTAGACCAGTTGAAAAACAGTGGAAGACGACCAAAAATTCTGTTCTCAATGGCTGAAAACTCATCCTTGTTCCTCCTGTCCTCCTCTACCTTCCCCCTTCTAGAAGTTAATTCCCACATGAACGAATATGAAATACTTGATCTGCTCTCCTGTGAAAAGAGGGCCAATAGAGAAACAAGAATATCATGAGAACACAGCACATTTCAAGGAAACAGATGTCTGATCCCACGGGCACATCCTCCCACCGGTTATCATTATCATTTCCCTTCTCTTTACAGCTTTGTCCTTCCAACACATCCACTCCTATACTCCGGGAGCACCTGTTTTGGCTCAGCCCTGTCAAGTTCCAGAAAGGCAGCCAGCATACCTGCCTTTCCCCTGTCATCCACAAGCCAAGAAAACTGCTCCCCTCCCAGCCAGAATATGGGACTAATTACTGAAGAAAAGAGTAACTCAGCCTCCTAAGTGAAATTCCAAATACTCCGGAACACATAAAAACACATGGGGCCACTGCCCAGATGCAGGCTGAAAGGAGACAGCACAAAAGTACTAACACTGAGCTGCACAAGAAGCTCCAACGGCAGACAAACAACTACCTCATCATCAATCAGACACCGGTGTATCATGTATGACTGCGACCTGACCCCGAGGGCACTAATTAGGCCGCCTCACACAATACCCTCCAGAGAGACCCAAAAAGCAAGGATAGAGTATTCATTTTCTTATCAAAATTCAGTCCCATTGGCTAACACAGACTAGCTTATCAGAAGAACTCTCAAGAGGATAGGAAAAGAAGGGGCGAGATACTCAGTCATCACACAGTCCTCGAATGCACTGAAGCCATTTATCCCTCTGCAGCAAAGGTGGAATTGTTTATAGACCACAGATTTGCTCTGCAGCACTTCCCTACGTCAGCAAGTTGCCACAACCCCAGAGCGTGCAGGTTTAACCGAGAACAGGGTTTTATCTGGATTGTTTAGAAACAGCCATACAGGAAAAGGGAACAGATGACACAGGGAAGAGCTGTTGAAAAAAAAGAAAATAGCTGTAGTGCTTGGGCAGCCTGAGCAACCAATTTCACATGGGGGACAACCTGCTGAGAAACACTCAGGGGAGGTCTAAAGTTTTGCCCTGGCAGGAGCATTGCAGACAAAAGTTTCCTGCATGGTTCTTGGTGTCCGGTGGGTTTGGCTCTCCAGAGACCAAGCACACTTCAACGGCTAAGGGCTGCTGAGAAACCAGGGATGATATGAAAGCTCCAACCCAGCTGAAGGTCTCAAATTGAGTGTTTCACCAGATACCTTGGGCTGAATTCAGTCTCTCCCATGCTACAGGAAAGGAGACTGTTCGAAGAGCCTTTAATCACATGTATCATGGACAGTGTCTGATCACACATCATCAAATAATAATGTTAATAAATATTTGGCCCCACAAATCCAGTCAGTCACTGAATTTTAGCAATGCAGATACTTTCCATCTGTGGAAGGCAGCACAGCTCAGAGGAAGCAGTCATTTGCTACTTGAGTGTTCAACATGATCAAGCAGAGACAAGATAATAGTTTAAAAATTTCTAACAAAACTGGCTGAATCAAAGAACATGCAGTCTCTGATGCACGTACTTTCATGATTAGCTGAATTTCATCCCCTGGGAGTCATTGTGATCACAGTTTAACACTCACCCTCTTTCTCCTAGGCTCCCACTAGTTTTTGAGAAGTCTAAACCTAACACACCAAACCCAGCAATTAAGCAGTCATGTCAGCCTTAAACAATTCCTCATACCACACTGGGCTAGGAGATGGGACCATAATGCAACTGTTTTGACACCATCCTGAATAACAGTATTAGATCCTAGTGCCAGGAATGAGCTAAAATTCCTGAGATACTGGCTCAGCCCCTTCTTCACTGTTTCAAGTATCTCAGCAGTTCTCAAATCCTGTTTTCACAAGAAACACAGATCTTCAGAATGACAGTTCATTTACCCGTTTTTCTTTGGGAAGTGTCTCCGGAAGTAGGAAGAAGATGAAAATTAAATCAGCCACCGCAAACATGAGTGCTAACAATGCTGAATGAAGATAGAAGACTTTTCCTTTCTCTGTCTCCATGGCTAGGTAAGCTCCCATCATAGGACCCAGGGTAAAACCAAGGGAGAAAGCAATGCCAATCATCGCCTGCAAGGATACAATGAACACAGACAGGAAGTTTTAGACACCAGTTTGTTCAGGTAGCTCAGTTCTAAACCAGTTTGGATTTCCTGGCCTTTACCTTAAAGAAATGCAACCAGATAGAGACCGTAACCACCCTGAGGATGTAGGGAGCATACCACAATGAGCGTTGTGTGAAAAAAAACATTATTTCCAAATAGCTGATTTTATTTTCTGTCTAGTCGGGAAAATGGCAGGAACAAACGGCAACATGGTTATGAGGGGAAGGGAAATAGTGCTTCTCACCTCAGGGACGGCTCAGCCAGCAGGTCTTTCAGCCATAGGATAAACTTCTGTAGTGTAAAACTGGAGAAGGCAGGACAGCACCATGGTAGGAACCCATAATGATGTCTATAGCTTTTACAATGATTTGGCAATTTCTGTGCTTAGGAATTTATGCCTTAGGCCAAACAGTCTGCAAGAACTACCTGAATTTAGTGCAGATACTGAAGAGGATGTATTAACTCGCTAGGAAACTAGTGCATAGAAAAAGAGACAGAATCTGTACACAGCGGGTGGGAGCTTGAAAGAGCACAGAACTGAGTCATCAGCTCAGTGAGAATGCTTAGGAATGAAGGAGTGCAGGATCTGGCTCCTTTTCTTTAAGAGACATTTGAAGATGTACATTTGTATATGCAGTACGTAAACATGTGACATCCCAGGATCCTCCTGCTTTCCTGAGTCTATTTAACTATATCTACAGTACCAAACGAAACAAGGCCAGGCACACTGTTGTTTCAGCCTACCCAGCTAGCAGTCTCCCAGTCATCAATTTCAGCCCATCACAATTTGGGAGTAGCTTCAGTCAGATGCTGCTCCCTTCCCAGAAAGCAAAATGAACACGCCTACTCTGCTTTGGAAAAGACAAGAGTCTAGCCATACGGATGTGAGCCATGCTGCACCAAGTGACTTGCTCTCAGGCCCTAAAAACTGGCCCTGACACATTTTATTTACTAGTGCTGTATGGCTATCCCTCTCCATAAATAAAAATATATTTTGGCTCACTGGAACTATAATAAATTGCTTGGAAAAATTCATTAGCTATGCCTGTTAAATCTGAAACTTTCCCCTCCCAAGAAGCAGTTGTCCCACACAGTGGCTTATAACAATCTGTTAAGTGAAGTTTGGGCCCCCAAGGCTTTTGTAAGATAAAAGATCTAACTGCTAATTCACAGGCAAAGTTCTGCCTGCAGCATGTTTCCCTCTGCACCACTGCCTTCTGGAAGAGGACAGGACAGCTCTTTGCACCACTAGCTGCTCAGTCAACCAAACGCCACAGCCTTTACCTGCTGAGCTCGGATCTTGAGGTCAGTGCAGCATGCAAGGAAGTCAGGAGCGTGCTGTGCTGTGCAGTGCTGCGCTACCATGGTTTGGGAAGGTGAGAAAAAATGGGGTGTCCTGTAGTTGGGTTCCAGCTACCAAAACTGGGCCATAAGACCTTTTGATTTCTAAGCTATTACAATCAGGATTACAGTTATCAGCAGAAGTAACCGTTTTAACACTTAACACAGGCAGTTTTTCCACCTCTAAGGAATCTGCGTTTCACATGTAGGTACAAGTCATTTGTAAGTAAAGTCTAAGAGCTCACCAGCAAAACGACCTGACATCTTTTCACAAGTGAGGTAGCATATAAAGTCATGTTTTCACTTGAACAATGAATACGCACCTGAGGAAGCCATTCTGAGCACCTGAAATCAATTAGAAGTTACCCAGCACACCCAAACATATACCCCACGTGTCACTCACCATGCCCTTGCTCCGTGCTTTTGGAGAGTGCAAGTCAGCAATTATAGCTGTGGAGAGGCTGACATTCCCTTTGCTTATTCCACCTACGATCCTGGAGAGAAGAAAAACGCCAAAAGTCCTAGAGGCAGCCCATAGTGCGTATGATGTTATCAAACCCACCTGCAGAAGCAAGAAAGGGTTTTTATAAAGCAGAGCAAAGTTGATCTCATTTCTGCACATTTCCCAGCTAAACATTTGATATTTTTTTTGTTTGGGTTTTTTTTTTTTTAAACAGTTAGTCCAAAAAATGTAACAAATGTCTGAAACTATTGATGCTGCACTGTGTCCTGGCCAGTGATATAAAAGAAGTAGAAATAAATCCATAAAAGCCTTATATAAATGTGAGATTACTAATAAAGTTAGAAAAGCAAGGAAAGTTCAAAAGGAGCTATATCAGTCCTGGGCACAAAAGCACTTTTGTACACCCCGCTCCACTTGTTTTCAACTTCAAGAGAATTCCGAGTTCATACTCTGAGTTAAATTACACAATCAATCATAAGCACACGTGCTTATTTAGTTCACTCTCCGCAAGCCTCCAGGACAGGGGCATTTGTATACCATCTGCAGCCAAGTTCCACCACGTCCGCACGCACTTGCACTGCGCTGCTTAATTAGAATGCCCTACTCCGATCAGACGCAGAGAAAACTTTGCAGAGAACGTTCTTCACATTCCAAGAAACACATCTTACACTGTTATAGAGCACTTCCTCATCAACAGTGCCCAGGCTCTGTGAAACAGGTCATGAAGTGATCAGCCCTCGTTAGTCCCTTGGGAACTAAAATATACAGGGATTAAGGCTAACATTTGTGAGCAGAGCATCTTAGTCATACACCCGTACAAGGGGGAAAGGGATTCTGGAAAATCCCAGCCACAGACAGGTAGTTTTGGTGCCTCGTATGTACAATTCTGGATCTGGGAAGCTCAGTTTAAGTACTTGCATTTGGAAGCATGGCCAAGTGACTTGGCAAGAAGCAGCCAACAACCGTCAGACCTAGAACTTTCCATTTCCCAATCCTCTGTGCTAACCACAAGACCACAGTGCCTTCAACTGCGTATTGAGGTGGCATGATTAAAATCAGCATGAGACACATACCACTGTCATCAAGATGACGGGTCTTCTGCCCAAACAGTCTGACACAGCACCAGTGAGGGGAGAGGAGAAGAACTGTAGGATGGAAAAGATTGAGCCAATCAGACCTAAAAAAAAAATAAATATTTATCATTAGATTTGCTGTCTTCATCTTAAATACAAAGAAAGCCAAACTGTTCCAGACCCATCACTCCATTATGTCCTTTAAAAATACAGAGTTGGATGTAAAATGACAGATATAAAGAACAGCTTTGTCTTGAAACTAAGCCTCTGTCAAATCACTGATCTGGCACTGTTATTTAACTGAGGTAGCAATACAGACAGACCAGAGTAACAGGCATGAACTGGATGATTCACTTGTTACCTCACTGGTCATAATGGAATGCTGATTCTCCAATGCTTACCCAACTGACCATAAACTTTCTGTTCTTAAAGCAGAGATAATGCAGCTTTAATAGTCACAGTTCTTTTAAAACTCTGATTGTTTGAATCTGACTCTGTCACGCTTAATTAGTTTTTCTTTCCTTCTTATCACGGAAAGAAGGACATATGCACTGCTGTTAGTGAGGCACCCTAAGAGGTAGGAGTGATTCCAACAGACTCCAATAACCTTTTGAAATCTGCCTCCAGCTCCTGTGATCTTTAATTCCTCTTTTCTCTTGCCATTTCTAGCTTCACACACTTATTAATTTTCACTGTACTCTCTACAAGCAGGCCAAAAAATGCCTTACTGTCACAGTTTTTCTGTAAAGGAAAAACTGGGTTATAGGTCTCAGATCATTCAGCTAACAAAGCTTTAAAAGACAGAGGAGAAACAGACCAGAAGTTCTGCTCCCATTGACTTTGAGGGAGACAAAATATTGATACTGAACACTTTGGTGAGAACAGCTGCTTATGACAGCTCAAAAGCCAAAAAAAAAAGGGTAAAAAAAAAATAATAGAATCATAGAATGGTTTGGGTTGGAAGGGACCCTTAAATGCCATCTAGTCCAACCCCGCTGCCATGGGCAGGGACACCTTCCACTAGACCAGGTTGCACAAAGCCCCATCCAACCCAACCCTGAATGTTTCCAGGGAAGGAGTATCTACCACCTCTCTGGGCTACCTGTGCCAGTGTTTCACCACATTCATTGTAAAAAATTTCTTCCTTGTTATCTAGTCTGAATGGTTTAAAACCATTACCCCCTGTCCTATCACTACAGGCCCTACTAAAAAGTCTATCCCCATCTTTCTTGGAAGGTCCCTTTAAATATTGAAAGGCCACATTAAGGTCTCCCCGGAGCCTTCTCTTCTCCAGGCTGAACAAGCCCAACTCTCTCAGCCTGTCCCCATAGCAAAGGTGCTCCAGCCCTCTGAGCATCTTCGTGGCCTCCTCTGCACTCCCTCCAACAGGAGCCTATGGTGAGGGCTCCACAGCTGGACACAGAACTCCAGGTGGGGTCTCGCAAGAGGGGAGTAAAGAGGGAGAATCACCTCCCTCAACCTGCTGGCCACAATCTTATAGATGGGTACAGTGGCAGATTTTGTTAATGCGAGACAAGTTTTCTTCCTCGTATTTCTAGCACGTAAAAACACCCAGACATGCCAAACACCTCATAGCCAGGGAGAAGCAAAAGCAGAGCTGTTCCACACAGGGGACTGAGCCAGGAGTGGAGTGTGGCCACAACAGTGGCAGTGCCCTCACCAGCCCCACACAATCTGGAGGGGTCGGACAGCACAGGGTGCCGCTAGTGGGGTCCATTAACAGGGCCAGGTAAGGAAAGGGTTATACATCAGGCCCATCAAGGGAATCCAATCAGGACCAACAGGAGACAGGGTCAGAGAAAGGAGTGGAAACAAGATTGCAGCATAAGTCAGTTTAGGAGATGAGACACCTGCAGTGTAGGTCCAAGGACCATCCAAGAGACAGGGCCAGAGACAGCCTCAGAGGGAAGGCCATACCCACGATACAGCTCAGGCAAGGCCAGGCCTGAGCTGAAATACAGCTCCTGAACCACTGGGCAGAAAGCATGTGGGTGAAGGCTGGTCACTGTAACTAAGTATTGGTGCCCTCGGGGCCTTGAGAAAGGCATGGGAAGTTTCTGCCCTGAACAGGGTGCAGTCTAAGCAAACATATAGAGCGCAGAATATATCCTGCAACAAGATGATCTTGCAAGTATCTTGCCAATCCTGTGCTCTTCGTTGCAGCTGAAGGCAATGAAGGAATGCAGGCCACAGGAAGACTGTAGTGGCCTTTGCTTAACACCACAAGTATAACGAGCCTTTCCACTGTAACCAGTTAAGGGGCAATCAGACAAGATGGACTGAGATAGAAGCTGACTACAACCAAGATGGCTTGTCTATCTTCCCGTGCTTCTGCAGCCTCAGTTAACTCTCCAGTGAGCTAATTCAACTCGAACTGGCAGAAAACTAATCCAGAAAAAAAGAGGGGGGAAAAAAAAAAGTCTTCTTCTGCCAGTTTACCCAATGAGATAGCTCATAAAGGAAAGCTGTCACCAAAGAGAGCAGGAGAGATGGAGTCAAATGTGACAGACACCAGGTTAATCCAGCCACGTTGTCTGCACACTCACTACTTGTGGCTGCCAGGTAATTAGTGAACATTCCCATTGTTACTCAATATAAACACTTTTCTCTCAATACTTTTCTCCTAGATACAAAACAAGGAAACGCAGCTTCCTCTCTGAGGCAGTGTCTGCTTTATTTGCATGTTCCCAGTTAGATGCTGTATTTGCTTCAAAGGGCAAGAGTCCATTGGCTTTCCCTGGGAAGAGCAGGGGGATTTCTCCTTCCCCTTTAACGCAAGTGAGCCAAGTCCAGGCATACGGCACTCCCAAGAGTACAGGACACAGCAGGTAAAAGGACAGGCAAAAAGCTGGACATGGCTGTGAGCTCCCAGCCCCGTGTTTAAACACAGTCTGAAATAGGGAGAAGGAACAAGGAGGAGGCATGCAGTCAGGCCTTTGAGGAGAGAGAGAGAACAGTGCCTGAGGGATTAAAGAAACCAGGTTCCTATGATCTGAAGCCAGTAATCTGACTGAAAAGGAGCACAGATACAACAGCATGGCTGCAAGGTCACTGCAGGAAAGAGAAAACTGTCTATAAACTTTCTAATGGCTGTTAAACCCCCAAACCCTATTTTAAATAGTAACAATATATTCACACGTATATTCTAATAAGTTTTGCCCTTTTTTTTTTTTTTTTCCATTTAAAAGCCTTTTGCTTATCTTGGGGGAGGCCTTAGCTCGCCAAAAGGAGAGGGTCTAGACATTTACAGTTAAAAATTAACAGGCACCCTCACATCTTCATACTCTGAACTTCCAATTTCCTCACAACCCTCTAGATTGCAAGGAGCCAAAAAAGCCTCCGATTTCTAACATGACACATATGCTGCAGGGTTTCCTGCAGTACTCCCACTGGAGCTCACCCACACCAGAGTGCCCTAGTGACAGCAAATGCTTCTGGACCCTCTAAGTCAGCAGCTCTCCTGCTTTTAATAGGACTAATGAGATTTAGAAGCAGTGCTGCACTATAGCTGCCCAGCGGGGAGGTGAGATTTGAACTCACAAGTTTCTAATTCCAGTGTTTCCTACTGACTGATCTCCAATCACATGTGGATCAATTGTGAAGGGAGAGTAATTGCTGTGACTGTGCAGGATCTAGAACAGCAGGCTCCTGACCCCTCAGCTGGCAGTCTGAAAATAAAGAACAGCAGGCCTGCATTTCTGTAGCAATCTGTAAAACAAATTGGGCAAGATCATAGGATAATTCAGGTTAAGAGAGACCTCTGACAGTCACCTACTCCAACCGCCTACTCTGAGTCAGCTGTGAGGTCAGACCAGACTGTTCAGGATTTCATCCAGTCAGAGCTTGACAGACTCTGGGGATGGAAACTGTGAAACCTCTCTGGGAAACCTGCTCCACTGGCCATCCTCACAGTAAAAAAGTTCCTCCTTACCTCCAGTCTGAACCTCTCCCTTCTACTTATGCCTGACACCCCTCCTTCTCCCACTGCGCACCACAGTAAAATGTCTCACTGCATTCTTGGTAACCTCCCCCAGGCACTAGAAGGGTGCTATAGCTCCAGGCTGAACAAACTCAGGCTCCCCAGACTCTGTGTCTTCCTGGCCATCTGCTGAACTTGCTGCAGTTTATAAACGTCTTTCCTGGGGTCTGAAACTGGATGCAATGTTCTAGATGTAGTCTAACAACTGCTGAGTAGAGAGGGATGATCACTTCCCTCAGTCTCCTGTCTCTGCTTCTGTTTGTACAGAAGAGGTACTGTTGGTGCTTTTGTTACCAGGGCTGGCTCCTGCTCAGCTTGCTGCTCACCGGGACCCCCAGGGCCTTTACAGCCGAGCTGCTCCCCACCAGTCAGTGCCCAGCCTGTCCCACTGCAAGGGACTACTCCTTCCCAGTGGTAGGACTTCACATTTCCCCACACTGAATTCAGAAGATTCCTGTTGGCCTGTTCCTCCTGCCTATCTAGGTATCTCCAAATGACAGAGAGGGGGCTGTCCAAGTCTTCATTGCTATCAGTGTGGTGAAAACAAAATCATGTATAGATTACTCTAAGAGACATTTTAAAAGTCTTAATCTAATAACAGGCAAGTATGCTTTCGGTATTTCTTGTCATTTTCCTCACTGTTAATCATTCCTCACATCAACACTACAAATTACCTGAAAACAGCACACTATTTTTTTTGGCTGCGTCAGCTTGTTTGTTTTAATTTTCATACCTCCAAACAAGACGCTGTTGTATTTCCGCTCTGGAGGCATCCCAACCATCACTGCAAACCAGTCCACGCCACGTTGCAATGACAAATAGAATCCATCCTGCAAAACAGACAGCTGGGAAATAGACGCAGGAAGCAGTTCCTCTGTTTTATTTTCAAAGACAGCATCAGAGCTTAGTAAATTAGAGGCAGCATCAGATGATTCCTTCCCTCCTCCTCAGGAACATGTCCTGGTTGATCAGCTGCCTAAAAATAGCTTAAACTGTGAATGCTACTAGAGAGCAGATAATTGGGTGTACGTGTTTGGGTGGGGGAATGTCTGAATTTTAACTTTTTTAAACTGTTACTTCCTAAAACCTGAACTAAGCAAAAGTGGTGTGTCTTGAATCCTTCAATTAATAAAGCAGCATGAGACACTCTATCCCTCTGCACACACACTACTTAGACTGGGAGAACCAGGGGCTTGTAGGTCCAGAAAGAAGAGGTGGTGCAAAAAAAAAAAAAAAAAAAAGGGTTCCTGATGGTTAGGGTGAGAGATAGGCTTGTAGGAAAGACAAAGGCTGCAGCTGCAGTCGGAGTGGGGTTAGAAACGGGCTGTGAGGGGGACGTGTGGGATGCAAAAGTAATTCTCCCCTGACATCATCTTTGTCTTGGCCAGTAACACCTGTGAATGGTAACTGTGAGCAGCTGCCCAGCAAAGAACCAAATCAACTTTCTGCCCTGCCTCCTGAAACCAGCAGCCAGGTCCCTGCTAAGAGCAGAAGTTGAGACCTAGTGAACATGATGCTGGGGGTGGGAGCAAGAGCAAGTGAAATACCTGAGTAAAAGCTCTTACCTCTTTGGTTCTCAGATAAACGCCAGTATGGAGATCCACAGTGGACTGTGGTTTACTGTCTCACCAGTGACATCAGTGCAAGTCACAAATACATGGGTCATTACAAGGACTAGCCCCTAAGAAATACCTGAATTTTACTCCAAATACTCATGTTAATGCAGAAGCAAGAGGGAAGTGTCTCATGCAGGTCTGCAAACAAATTCAGTCCCTGAACCATTTAAGTGTGCTAGATATTATTATTCTGCCTACAGCTACTGGGTTTGCCCAAAGGCAAGGGTTTTTTCTTCCATCCTTCCCTAAAGATCTCATACCTAACGTTTTCAGCAGGCTGACTTTCTCTTTTGCTTACCTCAGTCTGGCTGTAATAATCGAGGATGGAAGGAAACAGCGGCAAGATGAGAGCGAATCCCAACAAGTCGATGAAGAGTGCCAGGAAGACAATTGTAATAACACGACTGCAGTTCTGTTCTTGCTTCTCATTGACAGAGCTGCTGCTGGCTTCTCTCTCTCGCAGGGCCATGTTCCCAGGTGCTCTGCTTCTAATAAATTACATTTATATCCAGTCAACAGGAAGCATTTTGCAGGCCTTTCATAAGAGCACCTTGCTGATTTATTCTTGCTTTCTACAGACTTCACAATAATAAATATAAGCGATGGCTGTATCAAGCTACCTGGTTTTCAAGGGAACAGGAACCCCAACACTCCAGTCTTTGTTACTAGCTAAGCACCAAGTGTGCTCACATCAAGAATGGACTACAGGGGCAATAAGATAACAAACTCTATTACAGGAGCATCCCAAATAAAACACAGAACTATGGAGCATTCAAAGTTTGTTAACATGTGAGCAATGCTAATACAACTTTCCCAGATGTTTTCAACTGAGCATTACAGTAAAATAGATAGGAAAGGGCACTCCTGTTTTCAATATCCACATTCCAGTAACTAATAGATTATTTATGCCTTCAGCATATACTAGAAATTACTAAAGCAATAACAAAAAAAAGGTAAACAAAAAAAATCAAGATAAATCCTGGAGAGAGACAGCAGTTCGAGAAACATCACAACAAAATTTTGGAGTTTGAATTTCAGGATTTTTCTTCTTTCTCTGGATGATAGCCACTGTGATAGGCTGTGTGAGTTGGGGCATCAAGTGATTAAGGCGGCGTTTTAGTTTGTCAGAAATGCCAGAACTATCCAGTTTCTTTGATAATACTCCAAAAATGTCTCAAAGACTTAAACAAGGATGCAGGCCGTATCACGTTCAGTATTAAATAAAGAAGTCAGGATGCATCCTAAAAAACCCTCAGCTTCAACAGATAAAAAAAAATCAAGGAGTAATACCCGAACCATGAAACTGTAAACTTCAGACTTCTAACACATTACAGTGTACCTCAGTCATGAAACAATCAAATTTGCAGCCCCTTCTACTGCAAAAATCCCTTAACATTCGTTGCACTAAGAATAAAAAAGGAGATAGAATTTCATCCAGCAAAGACAATCAATACCAAAATATCCATTGACTTTGATAAATCAGGATTGAAGACACTGAGCAATTCTTAACATAAAACCTATTCCAGACAAGATATACCATATGACGTACACAAGGTGCTTGTGCATATAACATCACATTGCAAGATCACAACACTTTGTTATGCACAGCAATAAATATTGCTGTGACACTTCTTTACTTGTGGATTCAGTTTATTAGCACTGAAGCACAATTAAAGTTCAAACACCATGAGGTAAGCATGGAAGGGGGCCACCTGCAATCCCTTTATTAAACTCCTGGCATAATGCTCTTAGGTCTGTTAGTGAACAGAACTGTTTGGTAACATTCAGGATCCTTTTATTTAAAATGGTAAGTCATCACTGCCACAAATATTTAACATTATTTGCTTACCAGAATGATATAAGAGCATCTGGAGCCAAAACAACCATTCCTTTAGACAAATCTTCCCTGGCCCTAGGTCTATCCTGCCAGCTGTTGAGAGATGGGTTCATTGTGGCACATTCTATCTTATTTTTCCCCACAGTTTGTTTACTCATCCACAGAATTGCATGACCAAGCTGAACTTCATTTCAGGGTTATTTGCAGAGAGTAACATCCTTTACACCTTATCCTCATGGCCATTTCAGCTAGTGTGCTGCGTGAACCTACTGATGCTAGCAGTGACCTTTCATTCAGCTCTACTTTCAGCTTACGCAATAGCCCAAGGTACTACGTGTTTCTGCTCCATCAGTTTTGTTGTTCCAAACTCTGTATTTTTTGCTAGGCAGGAAACCACCGAACATTTTATAGGCCCTGGCAACCCGTCAGCAAAAACAAAACACTTCACCTCCGCCACATGTGATTTCTGCGAGGCACGTGTGAAGCGAGGGGAGGATTTTCAGTTTAGGGAAGTCGTTTCTCCGGACACTCGTGCCCCTGGAGCCCGCCTGGCTCTCCCCAGCCATCCCAGCTGTGTCTCACCACTCCTGCCTTCGACCTCCGGCCGGCCGGGCCGGGCTGGATGCTGTGCCTCTCGGGCAGGGAGCAGCAGCCACGCTGTCCCGGCCCTAACGCCCAGGCAGATTTGTCATCAGCCAGCCGGGAAGAATTCCATCCTGGTGTTTTCTTACTACCTCTTCTGCCCCTCTGAAATTTCCTAGGCCCGGCTTTACCTGCTAAGCCTTGAGAAAGCTCCTCTGACTCCTTAACAAAGTCCCGGTCCAGGTCAAGCGCAGGAGTTCCAACCGGGGAGGAAAGGA